CCCCAAAACCCCAAAACCCCAAAACCCCAAAACCCCAAAACCCCTAAAAAGAGTGAAGAGTTGAATAACCTGTGATTATAATAAATATAAATGGAAGAAGTAGTAATTTCTCAAGGTATTTTGCTCAAACCCAGGGTATAATATTCCTATAGGAAGTAGTAAAAGCACAGGAGATATCGAGCATTACGATGAGCATTATGATACGTATCATGATGTTAGTATTGATGATACTCGCAAACTTGGCAATGACTGGGAGAAAAAGAAACTTTACTATAACACATTTGACGGTGACTCCTCTTTCTCTATTACTCCCATTAAGAGAGATAACTATCGGGCGGATAACAGATATTATGTGCTCCTGCTCTCTACCTTTCTGATGTTTGGTGGGTATTTTTGAATGGACCAGCCAAACGCTCTATCGAAGCATTTAGAGCAAAGTTTAACTGGTGAAAGTGCCATGAAATATAACATGCTGTATTCAGTTTATGCTTATCCCAACATAATTATGCCTTTCTTTGGAGGAGTTTTCATTGATAAGGTAGGACTCAAATCAGCCTTAAATATACTCTTTGCTTTATGAATAGCTGGCCAGGCATTCTTCACATTCGGAGGATATATTGAAGGTAGTCATGGTTACACCATGGCGCTGTTTGGAAGATGCTTATTTGGGATGGGAAACGAGTCCCTGAACATAGTTCAGAGTATCTTTGCAAATAAATGGTTCAAAGGCAAAGAGCTTGCCTTTGTCTTAGCTCTTGGAATGAGTGTTGGAAGGCTAGGAAGCACTTCAAACAATCTGCTTATGCCAATAATGGCAGATAAATTATGTTTAAGTGCTGCTTTGCTTTTTGGGCTCAGTTTAATTTGCATATGCTTCTGATCTGGACAAATCTTACTCCGATTTGAGGAAAATGCTCAAAGAAGAGAGCTCCCGGTAAATAACCCAGGTAATGATGAGAAATTAGATTTCTCATCACTCAAAAAATTCCCTCTGAGCTACTGGTTGATATGATTAAGTTGTGTGAGTGTATACTCCTCAATCTTTCCTTTCACAAATATTTCGAACAGTATGTTCATGCATAAATACGATCTCAGTTTAACAGTTGCTTCGAGGCTGACTAGCTCAATCTTCATTATAGCTGCTTTGTTGTGAGCTACTTTTGGATTTTTGATCGATAGAGTTGGATATAGAATATCATTTGTGGTATTCTCATCCTTCTTATTGCTCACTGCTCACACTTCCTTCCTTGTCATGCCTGCCTGAGATGGATGCTATGAAGGATTATTCCCACTAATCTGCATTGGAATAGCTTATGCAATCTATGCAGCAGCTCTTTGGCCGATGATACCCATTGTGATCAAGGAAGAGTATCTTGGAACTGCATTCGGATGAGCGATTGCTATTCAAAACGCAGGATGTGGATTTGGGCCAAATATTGTAGGGTTCCTCCAAAATTACGACACTTCCTATCGTAGCACTCTGATTTTCTTCATGCTTGTGTCTATCTTCGGAATTCTGTGTGAAATTGTGCTATATTTCACCAGTAAGAAGTATCATTCAAACAAGATTCAGCTTCCAAGTGACAAGATAGCTGAGATAGAATCCAAAGAATATGAAAATTAATATCCTGAAATTTTGAAAAATCTAATTCTACCCTTGAGGCCATTCTATAAAATTTCAAATAAATTCTGATTTGTTGGGGTTTTGGGGTTTTGGGGTTTTGGGG